GTGTTTTATTTGCGCTACCGACTAATTATTGTTCGTCATTCCTAACTGGTCGCCTGTCGTCGTGTTTCTTGTGTGTTTTATATGATTCGATTCTGACCTGGACTAATCCTGAAGTGGGCCAAAAAACGGTTAAACTTATAAGTAAACTTGGATTCAAATATCTTATTATGCATTATGTAAATATGACTAGATTGAAATGGGGAATTCGAATAATAAGTAACCTAGCTGTGGTTTCCTATTTCGTTTTCTGGTTTCCTCCGCATCCCGCTGGCACCGCTTAATCCTCCAGATTTCGGAAGGCCTGCTGCAGGTCCTCGTACAGTTGATCGTAGTCCGCCTTGATCTTTTGCTCGCCATCTTTCACGGGATCCTGAAAAAGGGAAAATGTTTAAGAGGCCATCACCACAACCCAACCTAATCCTCAGCTCACCTTGAACTTCATCGACGACAGCTGATACATAATACCGCCCATCGACTCCCTAATGGTGTTCCATGTGATCTTGTTGTCCGACTGGGCGGTGGACTCGACAGCATGCCGAGCGGTCTCGTAGAAGGACAGGATGTTCCTCAGCATGCCCACCGTCTTGTAGAAGGGACAGACGCGATCGTACGGCGAGTAGGAGTTCTGTTGCAGGAAGTCATCCTTTAACAGCTTGGCCACCTCCAGGGTCACCTTGTCGGTCTCGGCCAGCGAGGCCTTGCCCACCAGTTGAACTATCTCGGACAGATCCTCCTCCTCCTGCAGAATCTCCTTGACCTTGGTACGCAGTGGCACAAATTCGGGAAAGTTCTTATCATAGTATTCGTCCAGAGCTCGCATGTACTTTGAGTAGGAGATAAGCCAGTTGATAGAGGGGAAATGTTTACGCTGGGCCAGCTTCTTGTCCAGACCCCAGAACACCTGCACAATACCCAGGGTGGCAGATGTCACTGGATCCGAGAAATCACCACCGGGCGGCGACACAGCACCGACAATGGACACGGAACCCTCACGTTCTGGATTACCCAGGCACTTGACGCGCCCAGCACGTTCGTAGAAGGTGGCCAGACGGGCGCCCAGATAGGCTGGATAACCGGAATCGGCAGGCATCTCAGCCAGACGACCCGAAATCTCACGAAGAGCCTCAGCCCATCGAGAGGTGGAGTCAGCCATCATGGCCACATTGTAGCCCATGTCACGGAAGTACTCGGACAGCGTAATGCCAGTGTAGATGGAGGCTTCACGGGCAGCCACAGGCATGTTGGATGTGTTGGCCACCAGGGCAGTGCGCTTCATAATAGATTCGGTCACTCCATCGATTTCGCAGGTCAGTTCAGGGAAGTCACGTAGTACCTCAGACATCTCATTACCACGCTCGCCGCAACCTACATAGATGATCACATCGGAGTTGGAGTACTTGGAGAGGGCCTAGAAAGGTAAAAAGAACAAGGAATTAAATTAAACATTTTACGTAATTGAACAAGAAATTACTTAATAAAGAAATCCTAATCTAAATATCTTTAAGCTGAAATTCAAGCTTATCAACAAAAAAAACTACATTTAATTATTGGCCTTTGTATCACATAGCTCAATAACATATATTTATTTACTAAGAAATTAAAATTCAACGTATCGCCTACAAATTCAAAGAATTAAAGATTATCATTTAATTATTGCAAATGAACTACGACACATTTCTTGGAACAACTCAATGTACTGATTATTCCAAGAAATTATAAATAAATATCATAAATGAAAAGCTCAGACTGCAGAGAGATTAACCAAGGGACCAAGGTTGATGATCTCAATAACTTCGCTATCAGCAGCTTATAAATAACGAGTAGTATCTCAGACTTTTCTATTCAACTCAAGATGTCTCCCAGATTTGGTCTAGCACTTGTACTTCTTTGCTTCGTCCTTTTGGGACTCAGTGATGCCCAATGGCAACCGCAGCAGCAATACTATAAAAAAACTGACGTAAGTATTATAATTTAATTTTTGTATTCAGTAATTTGAATATTTTTATCTTCACAGCAAAACACACCGGGTCACAGAGTCCCTGTTGGGAACTATGGTAGGCGAGGGCCAGCCGTAAGTCAAATAATATGACTTTCTCTTCGGAAATGGTAATGTTTTCTTCTTTTCAGAGAGGTCGCAGTACGGGAGAATCGCTAAGTAATGGTGGTGTGCCAGAGGCACCTGGTTCTACAGATTCACCTAATGGTGCTCCCGATAATGGAGCCGGTGCTGCCCCTGGTCCTGAATCCCTTGGTGGACTCGATTGCAGTAAAAACCAACTGGCCAACAACGTTCATGATAGATTCAAAAAGCGATCTTAAATAGTGGATTTAACTTCAAAAATTTGGAACCAGAAAATTTAAAGATATTGTAATTAAATGAGTTTAACTTGTTTTCAAATAATTAAATGCCTTTGGCTAATGAAAATTTTACTAGAGTTTAACTAAAGTTGCCATCGATTAAACCTATAGGAGATGTAGAATGGTAATAGATCCGATCAAAGGTATTATATTCTTAGTCAAAACCTTGAAATTCGGTGAAGGAGTCATTTCCGACCCTATAAACCATATATATTCTTCATCAACAGGCAAATCTTTCTAGGCATGTAGGAAAAATTATACATTTTTGACAAGTTTTTCAAATCGTTAAAATTGTCAAGAATTCGAAAAACTTTTAATTTTTTTACATTTTAAATGAAGCATGCAGATTTATTAACCTAATAAGAAACAACATACGAAAGCTTTCCAAATTAAAATTAAGTCGTTTTTAGCTTAGTTATGCATTTTTTAAACTTTGATTTGTCATATAAAATATAGATAAATATGTATTGATTCAAGGAATGAAAATTTTTCAACACTAACCTGTGAGATCACAGTCTTGCCACAACCAAAGGCACCGGGAATGGCAGTGGTGCCGCCCTGGACGCAGGGGAAGAGCGAGTCGAGGACGCGTTGGCCAGTGAAGAGCGGATGGTTGGCGGGCAGCTTCTCGGTGACGGGACGCGGCTGCCTTACGGGCCACACTTGCAGCATGGTGTGCTTGGTGATTTCGCCATCGAACTCCGTCTCCAGGACGATATCCTCCAGGTTATAGTTGCCCGCGGGGGCAATGTATCTAACGGTTCCCTTGGCTCTCGGCGCCACAATCATGCGCTGCTTCACCAGCGTATTCTCGTGCACCATGCCGTACAGGTCGCCTCCGGTGATGTGCGAGCCCACACGGACATTCAAGGGATTGAATTCCCACATCTCGGAGCGGGACAGAGCCGGCGTATTCACGCCCTTGGGTATATAGATGGAGTTGGTCATCACACCAATGTCCTTCAGCGGACGCTGGATGCCGTCAAAGATGCTGCCCATGATGCCCGGACCGAGCTCCACGGACAAGGGTTTTCCTGTGCGCAGGACAGGATCACCTACGGTTACGCCGGAAGTTTCCTCGTACACCTGAATGGTGGCCATGTCGCCCTCGAGACGAATGATCTCGCCCACCAGCTCGTAGTAGCCGACGCGGACCAACTCGTACATAGCGGATCCCGACATGGCCTCAGCGGTGACCACTGGAAAGGGGGGAGAGAGCGACAGAGATATCTGGATTAGACCGATCCACACGGGGTCAGCGAGTGAAGGACACGGGTGACGTCGCCTACCTGGGCCAGAGACCGCATAGACACGGCCGTACTCCGACTCGCGCTCCTCGTCTTTGAATTTCCTCAAGTTGGACATGGTCGCGGTTGCTTCTCTCTTCTTCTTCTGCTTCGGTAACGGTCAAAACGCGCGATCGCTGCGAAAAAAAAGATTTCGATTTACCAATAAACAAAAACACATTTTCCGCGAGAGAGAGAGTTTTCCCCGAGTGTGCTGAGCAGGGAAAATCGTAGATGGCGCTGCTGTGCAGCAGTAGCAGCAGCCCCCAGTGAAAAGCTTCACACCCCCGCAGCCCAGCATCGATTTTCCAATACAATTTTCACGCATGCCACGGATGGCGAGCTGAATTTTCACTATTTCCCGTCGCACAAACGGGATTTTCACACTTTCACTTTATTCTGCAGCATAATTACGGGGTTCTGTTCGCGCTGTGCTGTAATTAATCTTTTTTTGGCTGCCCTAAAATTAAATATGCTCACATTTGTTTCAGTAGCTCTTATGAAAATTCTTTTGCTTTTTGGTTTCAGTGCGACCAGATTGTGTAAGTGAAAACATGCTGAGAGTTTTCCGCCCTGTAGAAAATCCTTTTTAAAAATTCAGTTTTTCCGAAGTGCTACAAATTAGAGTTTTTAGAAAAAAATTTTATATATTATTCAAAAATCTGTTTATTTACCTTGTATTATATATTTTTCATTCTTGTGGAACACTGTACACGCAGAATTGACTGAATCTTTATACATCAGCAATCCTTAAGGATTGTTCTTGGAAAACTCAACCAACAGCAACCAAATGTTTTTGTACATAATGACCCTTAAATATATAAGTTTATTTATTTAAACGCATTTATAAATCAAATCATTTGTTAATTAATTTAAATAAATATTCCATTAAATCATATTTTATGTAGAAAGTCCTGAAGGATAATTCACTTATCGATATCGATAGTCGCACAGTCTCGAGAAACGAAAGAGCGTTGTATATAAAATTTAAAATATGACTTCAATGACTAGTTTTTAATAATAAGTATAGGAATGTAATAAAAGTAGATCCTTATTTTTATATAATAATTTAATCAAATAATTAATTATTATTATTTATTTAATTCAATCCTCATGTTTTTGATAATAGGAAAAATAATCCAACTAAGTTTCTCGTTTTACAATGTAAAAATGTAAGTTACTTTCAGTTTCTACATTACGTTTGTCATGTCGTGACGCAGCTTTTAACTTTGAAAACTAGGGGGTGCTGTTGTGCAAATAATATAGGATTCATGTAGGATTTTTATGTTCCTGCAACCTGGTCTCATTAAAGCACTGAATATAGATATTTTTATCGATATTTTCATCGATGTTTTCGCACCTCTAATGTCTTGCAAGATTTCGACAAAAACTTTATTAATTCTGTAATTAAACCAAGCAGGTAATCTTTAATCGTGTGGTAGTGTTTCGGCACAAGTGTCATTATGTGCGAACCTTTCGGCCGACCAGTGTAACGTGCACGCAGCCCACCGGGGCAACCGAAAAGATAACCTCCAAAGTCCAGACATCGCAGACATCGATGCACCTGCTTCGGCTTTGCCAGCTCCTTTGCCCCCCTTAATGCAACGGAAACAGAGCCACTAATTAGTCGCGACGAGTGGATAAATACTACAGCCCGCCATGTCGTCGTCGTCGGTGGTGCAGCAGTTCGTGAACGGGCTGAAGTCCCGCAACCGGAATGTGCAGAACAAGGCCACCCAGGATCTGCTCTTCTACGTGAAGACAGAGCTGCGCGAGATGTCCCAGGAGGAACTGGCGCAGTTCTTTGACGAGTTTGATCATCACATCTTCACCATGGTGAATGCGGCGGATATCAACGAGAAGAAGGGCGGCGCCCTTGCCATGAGTGAGTCCTGGATGGAGTAAGCCGGTAATCCGGATTGGTATTAAGGGAGTTTTCTCACTTTCAGAGTGCCTCATCAACTGCGAGGGCAGTTTGACAGCCAGAAAGGGCATTTCGCCCTACTTGAACCGCCTGCGGGATCTCCTGCTGATTAACGATGTGTCCGTAATGGAGATAGCCGCCCGCTCCCTAGTCAAGCTGGCCAATATGCCGACCTCCAAGGGAGCCGACTCCTTTGACTTTGACATCAAGAAGGCCTTTGAGGTGCTCGGAGGCGAGAGACAAGAGGTGCGTATAGGGTTACCACGAATCAACCCATTTAAGTCCCCCTAGAATATCTCATAATATATTTTTTCCTTTTCCAGTATCGCCGCCACGCCGCTGTCTTCATTCTTCGCGAGCTGGCCATTGCCTTGCCCACGTACTTTTACCAGCACATCCTCACCTTCTTCGAGGTCGTATTTAATGCCATTTTTGATCCGAAACCGGCCATTCGGGAATCCGCAGGAGAGGCTTTGAGGGCAGCCTTAATTGTCACAGCCCAGCGTGAGAGCACAAAGCAGTCGAGTGAACCGCAGTGGTACAAGATCTGCTATGACGAAGCCAATGGTAGCTTCAGTGCGGATTTAGCTGTCGGAAAGGAACAAAAGGGCGTGACCCGTGACGATCGAATCCATGGCGGCCTTATTGTCTTTAATGAGCTTTTTCGCAGCGCAAACGCCACCTGGGAGCGCCGCTATACGGCTCTAAAGACGCTCTTCCCCAAGACCCAGCACAACAAGTTTCTGGAGGCCAGTAGCTCACTGGGCATGGGTTCCCAGCTGAACACACTGGTGCCGCGGCTGAAGGTGCCCTTCATCGAGCGGCTTGGCAGCAGCCAGACGCATATGAGCGAGGCGGAGCATCACAATGGCGTGGCGAAGTTCGCGAGCGTGAGTCTAACGATCCATAATTTCCACAAACCAGAATGTATTTATTTTCATTTACTTTTATCATTTATTTATATTTACAATTATATTTGTATTTGTTAAAAACTTACATTGATGTTTATTTTCCACAGCACAACGTCCTGGAGTCGGCTTACGCTCACGAGATCCTGCAGGAGCACTACACCACCATTTGCGATAATGTACTGGAACAACGATCCTCAAAATCGCCGTATGTGCAGCAGGCTCTCCTGCAGATCCTGCCCCGACTGGCTGCCTTTAACCGCGAAGTATTCGTGGAGAAATACCTACCGACATGCATATCCCATCTGATGGCCATCCTGCGAGGCAAGGAGAAGGATCGTGCTGTGGCCTACATAACCATCGGTTACATGGCAGTGGCCGTACAGAGTGCGATACAAGAGCATCTATCGGGAATCATGAGCAGCGTGAAGCTTGCCCTGCCAGCCAAGGATTTGACCAGTAAACGGAAGGTGCCCGTTGACCCGGCGGTGTTCGCTTGTATCACGCTACTCGCGCACGCCGTCAAGTCTGAGATCAGTGAAGATGTCAAAGAGATCCTGGAGCAAATGTTCTACACGGGCCTTTCGCCAGCGCTGACTGTTTGCCTGCGAGAGCTCTCCGAGAATGTGCCGCAACTGAAGTCGGCCATTACAGAAGGACTAATCGGTGTGTTGTCCCAAGTGCTAATGAACAAGCCAGCTGCGATTCCATACTCCGCCGTGCCCTTGATTGCCATCGATGGCTCTCTGATCATGCAGAATGCCGACGGAGCCACCACAGTTCTGGCCCTCAAGACCCTTGGAACCTTTAACTTTGAAGAGCAAAACATGTTGGACTTTGTGCAGCGGTAAGTTTTACGGATTATGCTTTATCGTTACAGTTTGTATGACAAATTTTTCCCCACAGCTGCGCCGACTACTTTATTATCCACGAACAGCAGGAGATTCGCCTGGAGGCAGTGCAAACCTGTACGCGACTCCTCAAGCTAGCAGTCCAATCCTCAGAGAGCATGGAGAACTCCAAGACGCTCAGTGACACCGTCTCGCATGTGATCGAGCGCCTGCTAATGGTGGCCATCACGGACATGGACTGCAATGTGCGGATACGAATCCTCCGTTCATTGGACGAGACCTTCGACGCCAAACTGGCTCAGCCCGAGTCTCTAAACTCGCTATTCATCACGCTGCACGATGAGATCTTTGAGATCCGGGAACTTGCAATGGTCACCATCGGCAGATTGTCCTCCATGAACCCGGCCTATGTGATGCCCAAGCTCAGGACGACTATGATTGAGCTGCTGACGGACCTCAAGTACTCGGGAATGAGCAGGAACAAAGAGCAGAGTGCTAGAATGCTTGACCATCTGGTGATAAGCACGCCCAGGCTGATATCCTCCTACATGAATCCGATCCTCAAGGCTCTGGTGCCCAAGTTGCACGAACCGGAATCGAATCCGGGCGTTATTCTGAACGTACTGCGAACCATTGGTGATCTGGCGGAGGTGAATGGCGGCTCCAACGAAATGGAACTGTGGGCCGATGATCTACTCTCCATTCTCCTCGAGATGCTCGGCGATGCCGGAAGTCCGGATAAGCGCGGCGTTGCTCTGTGGACCTTGGGACAGCTGATCAGTGCCACGGGAAGGGTGGTGAGCCCCTATCACAAGTACCCAGTGCTCATCGACATCCTCATCAACTTCCTGAAAACGGAACCACGCCGCTCCATTCGAAGGGAGACGATCCGTGTACTCGGATTGCTAGGAGCAATGGATCCCTACAAACACAAGATGAACAAGGGCTTGATTGACAGCCAAAAGGATAATGTTCTGATTGCCTATTCCGATGGCAAGGTGGACGAAAGCCAGGACATATCCACGGCAGAACTACTGGTGAATATGGGCAATGCCTTAGATGAATATTACCCAGCGGTGGCCATAGCTGCCTTGATGCGTATCCTGCGAGATCCCACGCTAAGCACCCTGCACACAAGTGTGGTACAGGCAGTGACCTACATCTTCCAGAGCCTGGGCATCAAGTGTGTCCCCTACCTGGCCCAAGTGCTGCCCAACTTACTGGACAATGTGCGCACGGCGGATAACAATTTAAGGGAGTTCCTGTTCCAACAACTAGCCATTCTGGTGGCCTTCGTCAAGCTGCACATCATCAGCTACATGGGCGACATCTTCAAGCTAATCAAGGAGTTCTGGACCATCAATACACCGCTGCAGAACACTCTGATCAATCTGATTGAGCAGATCGCGGTGGCTCTGGGCTGTGAGTTCAGGGACTATTTGGCCGAGCTGATCCCGCAGATCCTCCGTGTCTTGCAGCACGATAACTCCAAGGACAGAATGGTTACCAGGAGATTGCTCCAAGCTCTCCAGAAGTTCGGTAGCACCTTGGGCTACTATCTGCCACTGATTGTGCCGCCCATTGTGAAGCTCTTTGACTCCCACTACGTGCCCCAACAGGTGTCCATGGTGGCCCTGGAGACGATTAACAATCTGGCCTGTCAGCTGGACTTCACTGACTTCTCCTCGCGCATTATTCATCCGCTGGTCCGAGTGCTGGACGCCGAACCAGAGCTGCGGGACCAGGCCATGCTCACGCTACGCTCCCTGGTCAAGCAGCTGGGCAAGAAGTATCTGGTATTCGTGCCTATGGTGCAACGCACCCTTGCCAAGCACCGCATCGCCGACGCGGAATACGAAAAGCTGCTCAGCCGCATCCAATCCAACAGCACGCTGGCGGATGCCTCTGGAGCTGGAGAGTTTGGCCTGCGCCCGGCCAAGATCAAGAACTACGAGCCCTTTGTGACGGACAGGAATAGCAATATTAATAATCTGCAAGTGAGGACCAATGAGCTGCGCACCTCGTGGCAGGTGACACGACGCGTGTCCAAGGACGACTGGGTGGAGTGGCTGAAACGCCTGTCAATTGGCCTGCTCAAGGAGTCCCCCTCGCACGCCCTGCGCGCCTGTCGTTCGCTGGCCCAGGAGTACGACACGCTGCTCCGCGACCTCTTTAACGCCGCCTTCATCTCCTGCTGGACTGAACTGTCACCGGATCTGAAGTCGGAGCTAACCCAGTCCCTCATCCAGGCCCTGCAAGTCACCGACATGCCGGAAATCACACAAACGATCCTAAATCTGGCAGAGTTTATGGAGCATTGCGACCGGGACCCCATACCCATTGAGACGAATCTTCTGGGCACTCGGGCCATGGCATGTCGAGCTTATGCCAAGGCGCTACGCTACAAGGAAGAGGAGTTTCTGCTGCGCAAAGATCCGCAGGTATTTGAGTCTTTGATCCTTATCAATAACAAATTGCAGCAGCGCGAGGCGGCCGAGGGTCTGCTCACCACTTACCGCAAAGCGGCGAACGAGCTAAATGTCCAGGGCAGATGGTATGAGAAGCTTCACAACTGGGACCAGGCCTTGGAACATTACGAAGAGAATCTAAAGGCTGATTCCTCGGATCTGGAGGCGCGCCTCGGCCACATGCGGTGCCTGGAAGCGCTCGGTGATTGGTCGGAGCTGAGCAATGTGACCAAGAACGAGTGGGAGAATTTCAGTCCTGAGGCCAGGGCGAGAGCGAGTCGCGGAGCTGCCGTGGCTGCCTGGGGCCTTCAGGATTGGGAGGCTATGCGAGAGTATGTGAGATGCATACCGGAGGACACCCAGGACGGTAGCTTCTACCGGGCCGTGCTGGCTGTGCATCACGACGACTTTGAGACCGCCCAGCGTCTGATAGACGAGACCAGGGATCTCCTGGACACGGAACTCACGTCCATGGCGGGTGAATCCTACGAGAGAGCCTACGGAGCCATGGTTTGTGTGCAAATGCTAGCGGAGCTAGAGGAAGTCATCCAGTACAAGCTGATACCCGAACGAAGGGAGCCCCTGAAGGCCATGTGGTGGAAGCGCCTGCAGGGAGGACAACGTCTGGTGGAGGACTGGCGAAAGATCATCCAAGTGCACTCGCTGGTGGTGAAGCCGCACGACGACATTCACACCTGGCTGAAGTACGCGAGCCTGTGCCGGAAGAGCGGCTCCCTGCACCTGTCCCACAAGACGCTCGTGATGCTGCTGGGCACCGATCCCAAGATGAATCCGCTGCCGTGCAATCAGCCCCAGGTAACATACGCCTACACCAAGTTCCTGGCGGCCAACAATGAGCTGCAGGAGGCCTACGACCAGCTGCGGCACTTTGTCAACACCTATAGCCAGGAGCTGAGCTGCCTGCCGCCGGAGGCACTGAAGCAGCAGGATCAGCGACTGATGGCACGATGCTACCTGCGGCTGGCCACCTGGCAAAACAAGCTGCAGGACAGCCTCGGGCCGGAAGCGATACCCGGAGCACTAGAGTGCTTCGAGAAGGCCACCAGCTACGATCCGAACTGGTACAAGGCCTGGCACCTGTGGGCCTACATGAACTTCAAGGTGGTGCAGGCCCAGAAGACGGCGTTGGACAAGCAGCAGCCACAGGGTGCCGCCAGCATGGGCATGGGCATGGGCATGATGAGCCTCGGCCTAGACAGCGACCTAATGATTATCCAGCAGTACGCAGTGCCGGCAGTTCAAGGCTTCTTCCGATCGATCAGCCTCATCAAGGGCAACTCCTTGCAGGACACGCTGCGCCTCCTGACCCTCTGGTTCGACTACGGCAACCATGCGGAGGTCTACGACGCCCTGCTCTCCGGCATGAAGCTGATCGAGATCAATACGTGGCTGCAGGTGATTCCGCAGCTAATTGCCCGCATCGACACCCACCGCCAGCTGGTAGGACAGCTAATCCACCAACTGCTCATGGACATCGGCAAGAATCATCCACAGGCACTGGTCTATCCCCTAACAGTGGCCTCCAAGTCGGCTTCTTTGGCGCGACGGAATGCTGCCTTCAAGATCCTGGACTCGATGCGAAAGCATTCTCCCACCTTGGTAGAGCAGGCGGTTATGTGCAGCGAGGAACTGATCCGCGTGGCCATCCTGTGGCACGAACAGTGGCACGAGGGTCTGGAGGAGGCCTCTCGCCTCTACTTTGGAGATCGCAATGTCAAAGGAATGTTCGAGATCCTAGAGCCGCTGCACGCCATGCTGGACAGGGGACCGCAGACGCTCAAGGAGACCTCCTTTTCGCAGGCCTACGGACGAGAGCTGACCGAGGCCTATGAGTGGTCGCAGCGCTACAAGACCTCGGCCGTCGTGATGGACCTGGATCGAGCCTGGGACATCTACTATCATGTCTTCCAGAAGATCTCGCGACAGCTGCCGCAGCTCACTTCGCTAGAGCTGCCGTATGTCTCGCCCAAGCTGATGACCTGCAAGGACCTGGAGCTGGCCGTTCCGGGATCGTATAATCCGGGCCAGGAATTGATTCGGATAAGTCACATCAAGACGAACCTTCAGGTGATCACTTCCAAGCAGCGTCCCCGCAAGCTATGCATCAGTGGCTCCAACGGCAAGGACTATATGTACCTGCTCAAGGGCCACGAGGATCTGCGTCAGGATGAGCGGGTGATGCAACTGTTCTCGCTGGTAAACACCCTGCTCCTGGACGACCCGGACACTTTCCGTCGGAACCTGGCCATCCAGCGGTACGCGGTAATACCGCTCAGCACCAACTCGGGTCTGATCGGATGGGTGCCGCACTGTGACACGCTGCACACGCTTATCCGGGACTACCGGGACAAGAAGAAGGTGCCGCTAAACCAGGAGCATCGCACCATGTTGAACTTTGCCCCGGACTACGATCACCTCACGCTCATGCAGAAGGTGGAGGTGTTTGAGTACGCGCTGGGTCAGACGCAAGGCGACGACCTGGCCAAATTGCTCTGGCTGAAGTCACCGTCCTCGGAGCTGTGGTTCGAGCGAAGGAATAACTACACCCGGTCCCTGGCCGTCATGTCGATGGTGGGCTACATCCTCGGCCTGGGCGATCGGCATCCGTCAAACCTTATGCTGGACAGGATGAGCGGCAAGATCCTGCACATTGACTTCGGTGACTGCTTTGAGGTGGCAATGACGCGCGAGAAGTTCCCGGAGAAGATCCCCTTCAGACTCACCCGGATGTTGATCAAGGCCATGGAGGTGACCGGCATCGAGGGCACCTACCGACGCACATGCGAGAGTGTGATGCTGGTGCTTCGCCGGAATAAGGATTCGCTGATGGCCGTACTGGAGGCCTTTGTCTACGATCCGTTGCTTAACTGGCGTCTCCTGGATGTGGACAAGAAGGGCAACGATGCGGCGGCCGGGAATGGAGCGCCGGGAGGAAGAGGTGGCGGCGGAGGCTCCGGCATGCAGGATAGCCTCAGCAATTCGGTGGAGGATTCGCTGCCCATGGCCAAGTCGAAGCCCTACGATCCGCAGCTACAGCAGGGCGGCCTGCACAACAACGTGGCCGACGAGACGAACAGCAAGGCCAGCCAGGTGATCAAGCGGGTCAAGTGCAAGCTCACCGGCACCGATTTCCAGACCCAGAAGAGCGTCAACGAGCAGCAACAGGTGGACCTGCTCATCCTGCAAGCGACCAACAACGAGAACCTCTGCCAGTGCTACATTGGCTGGTGTCCGTTCTGGTAAATCGAGGGATCCTCCAACCCTGACTGAACGAGATTACGAACACTACATCTACTACTACTACACTACTACTACTACTACTACCACCACCACCACTACCCGTAACTGAATTGAGTGCACCCGCCCCTGGAGAGGATTCGGGGATGAACGCGGACGCAAGTAGGCTTTAAGTATATAATATTTGTATAATTTATGTTAGACATACGCTTTATTATCTTTTTATTTGTGAATAAAAAATTTCAAATAAATTCCAATTTTGTAAAAATCAACAAAAATCATATATATTATTGATCAGAATGAACAGCTGAATCGATCTATGTCCGGTTGAAACAAAAAAAATCGAAAATTGTTTCCATTTTTGCAAAAAAAGATAAGGGGCTACATCATTAAAATTTTCAAAAATCGACAAAAAAATTTTTAATTGAGTATGCAGTTTTATTGCCCTGATAAAAACTAGCATAGGAAAGGTTTCCGAATTGAAATTAATGCATTTTTGGCTTAGTTATGAGATTTTTAAATTTTGATTTGTTGACATAATTGTCATATAAAATATAGATAAATATCGACCCAAAGAATGGTTTTAGACGTTTAGTCAAAAGCTTGTAGCACTGCGAGGGACTCATTTCGGAGTAAATTAAGAATGCAGTTTTATTGCCTTAATAAGTAGTAGCACTGCAAAAGTTTCCGAATTAAAATTAATACATTTTTGGCATTGTTATGAATTTTTTAAAATTTGAATTATTTACAAAATTGTCATATAAAATAAATATATACTGAAAGAATGGTATTATACGTTTAGTCAGAAGCTTATAAAACTATGAAGGAGTCATTTCCGACCCCATAAATCATATATATTATTGATCAGAATGAACAGCTGCATCGATCTAACTATGTCCGGTTGAAAAAAAATTTTTGAAAATTTTTTCCATTTTTGCAAAAAAAGATAAGGGGTTACATCATTAAAATTGTCAAAAATCGACAAAAATAATCATTTTTTATTGAGTATGTAGTTTTATTGCCCTGATAAAAACTAGCTTAGGAAAGGTTTCTGAATTGAAATTAACGCATTTTTGGCTTAGTTATGAGATTTTTAAATATTGATTAGTTGACAAAATTGTCATTTAAAATATAGATAAATATCGACCCAAAGAATGGTTTTAGACGTTTAGTCAAAAGCTTGTAGCACTGCGAGGGACTCATTTCGGAGTAAATTAAGAATGCAGTTTTATTGCCTTAATAAGTAGTAGCACTGCAAAAGTTTCCGAATTAAAATTAATATTTTTTTGGCATAGTTATGAATTTTTTAAAATTTGAATTATTGACAAAATTGTCATATAAAATAAATATATACTGAAAGAATGGTATTATACGTTTAGTCAGAAGCCTATAAATCTATGAAGGAGTCATTTCCGACCCCATAAATCATATATATTATTGATCAGAATGAACAGCTGCATCGATTTAACTATGTCTGGCTGAAAAAAAATTTTTGAAAATTTTTTCCATTTTTGCAAAAAAAGATAAGGGGTTACATCATTAAAATGGTCAAAAATCGACAAAAATAATCATTTTTTATTGAGTATGTAGTTTTATTGCCCTGATAAAAACTAGCTTAGGAAAGGTTTCCGAATTGAAATTAACGCATTTTTGGCTTAGTTATGAGATTTTTAAATATTGATTAGTTGACAAAATTGTCATTTAAAATATAGATAAATATCGACCCAAAGAATGGTTTTAGACGTTTAGTCAAAAGCTTGTAGCACTGCGAGGGACTCATTTCGGAGTAAATTAAGAATGCAGTTTTATTGCCTTAATAAGTAGTAGCACTGCAAAAGTTTCCGAATTAAAATTAATATTTTTTGGCATAGTTATGAATTTTTTAAAATTTGAATTATTGACAAATTGTCATATAAAATAAATATATACTGAAAGAATGGTATTATACGTTTAGTCAGAAGCTTATAAAACTATGAAGGAGTCATTTCCGACCCCATAAATCATATATATTATTGATCAGAATGAACAGCTGCATCGATCTAACTATGTCCGGTTGAAAAAAAATTTTTGAAAATTTTTTCCATTTTTGCAAAAAAAGATAAGGGGTTACATCATTAAAATTGTCAAAAATCGACAAAAATAATCATTTTTTATTGAGTATGTAGTTTTATTGCCCTGATAAAAACTAGCTTAGGAAAGGTTTCCGAATTGAAATTAATGCATTTTTGGCTTAGTTATGAGATTTTTAAATTTTGATTTGTTGACAAAATTGTCATATAAAATATAGATAAATATCGACCCAAAGAATGGTTTTAGACGTTTAGTCAGAAGCTTGTAGCACTGCGAGGGACTCATTTCGGAGTAAATTGAGAACGCAGTTTTATTGCCGTAATAAGTAGTAGCATTGGAAAAGTTTCCGAATTAAAATTAATACATTTTTGGCATTGTTATGAATTTTTTAAAATTTGAATTATTTACAAAATTGTCATATAAAATAAATATATACTGAAAGAATGGTATTATACGTTTAGTCAGAAGCTTATAAAACTATGAAGGAGTCATTTCCGACCCCATAAATCATATATATTATTGATCAGAATGAACAGCTGCATCGATTTAACTATGTCTGGCTGAAAAAAAATTTTTGAAAATTTTTTCCATTTTTGCAAAAAAAGATAAGGGGTTACATCATTAAAATGGTCAAAAATCGACAAAAATAATCATTTTTTATTGAGTATGTAGTTTTATTGCCCTGATAAAAACTAGCTTAGGAAAGGTTTTCGAATTGAAATTAACGCATTTTTGGCTTAGTTATGAGATTTTTAAATATTGATTTGTTGACAAAATTGTCATTTAAAATATAGATAAATATCGACCCAAAGAATGGTTTTAGACGTCTAGTCAAAAGCTTGTAGCACTGCGAGGGACTCATTTCGGAGTAAATTAAGAATGCAGTTTTATTGCCTTAATAAGTAGTAGCACTGCAAAAGTTTCCGAATTAAAATTAATATTTTTTTGGCATAGTTATGAATTTTTAAAATTTGAATTATTGACAAAATTGTCATATAAAATAAATATATACTGAAAGAATGGTATTATACGTTTAGTCAGAAGCTTATAAAACTATGAAGGAGTCATTTCCGACCCCATAAATCATATATATTATTGATCAGAATGAACAGCTGCATCGATCTAACTATGTCTGGTTGAAAAACAATTTTTGAAAATTTTTTCCATTTTTGCAAAAAAAGATAAGGGGTTACATCATTAAAATTGTCAAAAATCGACAAAAATAATCATTTTTTATTGAGTATGTAGTTTTATTGCCCTGATAAAAACTAGCTTAGGAAAGGTTTCCGAATTGAAATTAATGCATTTTTGGCTTAGTTATGAGATTTTTAAATTTAGATTTGTTGACAAAATTGTCATATAAAATATAGATAAATATCGACCCAAAGAATGGTTTTAGACGTTTAGTCAAAAGCTTGTAGCACTGCGAGGGACTCATTTCGGAGTAAATTAAGAATGCAGTTTTATTGCCTTAATAAGTAGTAGCACTGCAAAAGTTTCCGAATTAAAATTAATATTTTTTTGGCATAGTTATGAATTTTTTAAAATTTGAATTATTGACAAAATTGTCATATAAAATAAATATATACTGAAAGAATGGTATTATACGTTTAGTCAGAAGCTTATAAAACTATGAAGGAGTCATTTCCGACCCCATAAATCATATATATTATTGATCAGAATGAACAGCTGCATCGATTTAACTATGTCTGGATGAAAAAAAATTTTGAAAATTTTTTCCATTTTTGCAAAAAAAGATAAGGGGTTACATCATTAAAATTGTCAAAAATCGACAAAAATAATCATTTTTTATTGAGTATGTAGTTTTATTGCCCTGATAAAAACTAGCTTAGGAAAGGTTTCCGAATTGAAATTAATGCATTTTTGGCTTAGTTATGAGATTTTTAAATTTAGATTTGTTCACAAAATTGTCATATAAAATATAGATAAATATCGACCCAAAGAATGGTTTTAGACGTTTAGTCAAAAGCTTGTAGCACTGCGAGGGACTCATTTCGGAGTAAATTAAGAATGCAGTTTTATTGCCTTAATAAGTAGTAGCACTGCAAAAGTTTCCGAATTAAAATTAATATTTTTTTGGCATAGTTATGAATTTTTTAAAATTTGAATTATTGACAAAATTGTCATATAAAATAAATATATACTGAAAGAATGGTATTATACGTTTAGTCAGAAGCTTATAAAACTATGAAGGAGTCATTTCCGACCCCATAAATCATATATATTATTGATCAGAATGAACAGCTGCATCGATTTAACTATGTCTGGATGAAAAAAAATTTTGAAAATTTTTTCCATTTTTGCAAAAAAAGATAAGGGGTTACATCATTAAAATTGTCAAAAATCGACAAAAATAATCATTTTTTATTGAGTATGTAGTTTTATTGCCCTGATAAAAACTAGCTTAGGAAAGGTTTCCGAATTGAAATTAATGCATTTTTGGCTTAGTTATGAGATTTTTAAATTTAGATTTGTTCACAAAATTGTCATATAAAATATAGATAAATATCGACCCAAAGAATGGTTTTAGACGTTTAGTCAAAAGCTTGTAGCACTGCGAGGGACTCATTTCGGAGTAAATTAAGAATGCAGTTTTATTGCCTTAATAAGTAGTAGCACTGCAAAAGTTTCCGAATTAAAATTAATATTTTTTTGGCATAGTTATGAATTTTTTAAAATTTGAATTATTGACAAAATTGTCATATAAAATAAATATATACTGAAAGAATGGTATTATACGTTTAGTCAGAAGCTTATAAAACTATGAAGGAGTCATTTCCGACCCCATAAATCATATATATTATTGATCAGAATGAACAGCTGCATCGATTTAACTATGTCTGGTTGAAAAAAAATTTTTGAAAATTTTTTCCATTTTTGCAAAAAAAGATAAGGGGTTACATCATTAAAATTGTCAAAAATCGACAAAAATAATCATTTTTTATTGAGTATGTAGTTTTATTGCCCTGATAAAAACTAGCAAAGGAAAGGTTTCCGAATTGAAATTAACGCATTTTTGGCTTAGTTATGAGATTTTTAAATTTTGATTTGTTGACAAAATTGTCATATAAAATATAGATAAATATCGACCCAAAGAATGGTTTTAGACGTT